GGAATGCTGCTATATGAGAAACGTGTTACGCAGGCGCCGGGCTGTTTTACATGCCGTTCCCTGCTCCTCTGGAGCGGAGACATGGAATCGCTCATCAGCTGCGTCACGGCATGCCACTACCAAAGCCCCCACGGTGTGAACGTTGGCAGGGGGAAGTGGACAAATCCTGCCATTAATATTTAAACCTAGCACAAATCCCATTGTTTGCTCTTAAATGTTTATCCAGCTCCCCAGCGTAATTGGGCAGCCCGTTATCTGCCCGGTTGCGTTGCACGTGTGGGAATCTGCTATTACAACCCTCTCTCTGAATCTTTTATAGAAGAGCAAAATACATTTACAAGCAAATTCGGGTTTTATTTGGAGGCACATTACTAATTTGGCTGCAGCCCGAACCCCAACGTGCGAAGTACTCAATGTGTTGCGTGGGAGGAGGAAGTTTTATTTAGCGGCACGCTGCTTTCCTCGCTGCCGGGGCTTTCCGTCGCTAACACTATGTGTGAGCAGCGAGCGCCGAGGGTAGCCCCGGGAACCCCACAAAAATGCAGCCGCTTTTTGCATCTCTCTGACTCCTCCACCTTTATCTGTCACAGCGGCCTCCGTAGAGGGACCAAGGATGGGCTGAGCTTAAGTGGGATGGGTCACCCCGGGCATCTGCACCCTCCTGGTCACTATAGATGCAGCCAGGTGACCCTATAGAGGCAGCAAGAGGACCTGGCTGGTCTGGAGCCGCAGCTGGGAGGGGTGAGCGGGATGGTGGGGAGGAGGATATTAAGAGTGCAAGCGTCTGGGATACCTCGGCGATGGGGCCGGATAAGCACTGGTGGTAGACAGATTAGTCATTGGTTCCTGATAGGGGATAATCTTTGGCTTGTCTGCTCTTTATCTGCGAGATAAGGTCAGGGTTGGGGGAGGGAAGGAAAAGGCACGGAAAAGCTGAGAGAGCCAGGATGGACTGGTCCTGGCGTGGTGGTCCTTCCATGGCTTATGGCAGGGCTTGGCCACCGGCAGCCTGGGAGCAGGATCAGGGCACATGGGGGGTTGTAGGCGAAAGCCCTTGTGCTCATCCAGGGGCTGTGATTTCCTTTCTGCTGCTTCAGCTCCTGTCCCAATTACGTGGTTCTGTCGACTATAAATTATTCTACAGAGGGAGCAGCATCCTCCTCTCCCTTCAGCACAGTGCAGGCTTTGCCTGGAGCTTGCTGGAACAGCTCTCGGGCAGTGGCTGTTAGCAGAAATTAAAGGAATTTTGTAAAGGACATTAAATACAAATAGCTGTATCTAATCAGGTCAGGAGCATTCTCAGCCTTTGCTGGAGGAGCAAAACCCCTCAGGTTGATGTCCTCTTGCTTACAAGTCAAGAAGAGACAGTTGCCCTGCTGAGAAGGCATCCTGGAGCCTGATTTTCATGAATTGCATTTGAACTCCTGGTTCAGCAATGCACGGGGCTGGGGTGTGTGCAGCATCCTGAGCTGTCTCTGCATGAAAGCAATGTCTGCTCCCCAGCCAGATCCCAGCCGAGCAGGGAAGACATCGTTAAGATTTAATTGGGAATGTGTTCGCTACGGCATCCCTTGGCTGTCCGTGCAGTGCCTTGCTCTTCCTGCACTGACCCTCTTCCTCACTCGAGAGGGGGACAAGATGGGAGAAGCAGATCCAAGTGGAGCGGAGCATCCTCCAGCTGCACCGCTCCCTCCTTGGCACTGGTTTTCACTGAGGGGTTTCTGCAGAGCAAGGCTCTAAGCAGGGAGATGAAAAGCTGAGTTTCTGTTCCCTTTTGCACTCCTGGCTGCTTGCTGGAGCCGTGCTGCTGCCGGTCCCGGGAAGCCAGGGGCATTGCTGGGAGGTAGGGCAGTGCTCGGGGAGGAAAAGTGGGAACTGAAAGGGGCAAGGCAAGGGGAGGTGGATCCAAGCTGTTTAGAGCACTTGTGGTTTTTTCTTCTTTTTGTTCTCTGGAAGATGAAATACAGCCTGTGAAAACACATGCGGGCCTGCCCAAAGGCCCTGCTCTGGTCACTGTTTGCTCTTCGAAGAATTATTGTTCCTTTGCTCTTTCCAGCGGAGGGTCTCTCCCAGCCAACCTGATGCACGGGGACTTGTCCCCTGTCCTACAGCAAATGAGAGGCAGGACCAGGCATTTACCCTGGGGCTCTGGAGCCCCCGTGCAGTGGTACCTCTGTTAGGCTGCTCCTAACGTGGACACGGGCTTGCAGAAATTGGAGCTTTACTGATGCTTAAACAAACCCGTGATGTGGAGCAGGAGGAAGAGCACCCCGGGGCAATCTCGGGAGCCAGGGAGCACTCCGGGCTCTGCAGCTGCCCTGCCTGGGATTTGAAGGAAGGCGGGTCCCTGCTCTTCTCCAGCCTCACTTCACGTGGGGCGCAGTGGGAGAGGGGCTCGCTAGGTATTGGCCCTGTGGTTGGGATCCCTCTGCACGGCTGCTGTCTCCGCTGCGGAAGGAGAGCATGACGCCGTCAGCTGGGGCTCACTGCCTGGGAACACGGTTGGTTTTCCCTCTCCTGAGCTGATAAAATAGAGATGGGTCCAGATAAAATAGAGATAGGCCCACTACTTCTTGCTTGGTGGGACTGCTGACCCTGCTGCTGTAAATACAGTTGTCTCTTTTCTCCTCCCCCTCCATCCCCCTAGGTGCTCCTGACCCCACTGCTGGGGCCAGCATTGACGACGAGAACTGCTGGCACTTGGACGAGGAGCAGGTCCGAGAGCAGGTGAAGCTGTTCCTATCTCAGGGAGGGTACTACGGCTCGGGGAAGCAGCTCAACTCCATGTTTGCCAAGGTGAGGAAGAGCCGGCTGCTCTCTCCCCTCTCCACTCAGCGCGTCACGTAGCCAGCAGCTCGCCGGCTGCCCTGGCAGGGTGCCCATCACAGCTGGGAATCTCTGCTCCAGTGCCTTCTTGCCCGGTTGCGGAGCGGGCGGTTGTAATCTAGGCTCTGGGTCAGGCCTGGGTTGTCTCACCCGCTCTCCTGGCAGGTCCCCATTGCCCACGCGATGGCTTGCCATGATCCCTGCGCGAGGGAGGGCTTTCCCCCATCTCCCCATCAGCACAGTGTGCAGGAAAGCCAACACTGCAAAGCCTACGGAGACCATGGAGAGATGGCAGCAGCCTACAGGCGCTTCTCTTTCTTTGCCCAAGGGCCTTGTTTTCATGTTCTGGATTGCTTGGTCCCCTTCCAGCCTAGGCTGTGGCTGTTGCTCAGCCAGACTCCAACCAGCCAGGTCATAGCCATTGCATGAGTGTTATAATCTATGACTATACATTATACACATATATATGTATATATTCACAGTCTGGACCCCCAGACTGAGGGAGCTGTGGGTTGCCAGCCAGGTGACCATATATTAAACACCTCCAGGGGACTGTGGTTTGTCTCACAAAGGACCTTCTCTCTGTCCTTTCCAGGTTCGGGAGATGCTGCGCATGAGGGACTCCAATGGGGCCAGGATGCTGACGTTGATAACAGAGCAGTTCATGGCCGATCCTCGGCTCTCCCTGTGGAGGCAGCAGGGGACAGGCATAACAGAGAAGTGTCGGCAGCTCTGGGATGAGCTGGGTAAGGGTCACCGCCTTGCAGAGAGCAGCAGCAGGGTTGCCTGGGCTGCTGAGCCAGCAGACATTGTCTCAGAGGCTTTTGGGGCTCTTTTTTGGGAGAAGAGGCCCTGTGAGATGCTTGCTCTATGCCCTACTGGGGAAGTCCTGGTGGGAAGGCTGGATCAGGCCCCAGCTGTACAGTTCAACACCTTAAACCAGCCCCTCTCCTGCAAAGGAGTCAAGGATGATGGGCGTGCGGAGCATGGCTGGTCCCACCCTTGCAGCAGCCTGGTGCTTGGTGTGCTGCCCCGGAGCCTTTTGAGGGAGGATGCAGGCTGGTGAGCCCCAGGGGCTGGGGGTAGCCTGGAGGCATGGAAGTACCATTCCTGGAGGCACTGTGATCCGGAGGGGGAAAGGCAGGTTCTCAAGTCTCTTCCCATCTGACAGATTTCTGCATGCTCTGGTGCACGTTTCCAGGGTGAGGGGGGCAGGATGGCCAGCGCAGAGCCTGGCTTTAAGGGAAATGCAGTTCTGGGTAATTCTAGCTAAGCACCTTAGACACCGGCTCAGCTGGCTGACACCGTAATATCATTAGAATAAAACATTTAGATGACGTGGGCGCAGGGAGGTTGGTTGTGTGGTGGAGTTAACCCAGCAGTTCTGGGCTCTCCTGGGATCAAATAGTTTGGTTTGTGCCGTAGTTTCATGACGAGTGAGTTTGAGCTCCTCTGCAGCCTGCCAGTGGGAGATGCTCTGTAAGAGCAAGAGCTCACGGGCTGGGACCAAAGGGATGTTGTAGAGCTGGAAGAAGGTTGAGGGTGGTCCAGGGTCTGGAGTACTTGAAACTGCAGCTGGGGTCACAGACCCTCATACCAAGTGCCCAACAAATGCAGCCATAGCCGTAAGACTGGAGAGCCTGGCCAGACAGCGCAGACAAGGGTTAGGCAGGGGTGGGATGTCTTGCTTCTGTGTCAAGTTCCCTAGATGGAAATAACCATGCCAGCTCTGAAGAGCTCATCTGTGCTTGCTTGCCAAGAAGATATTTGCAGGATCTGGGGATTCTGCAGCTGTAGATGGCTGGATATGCGAGGATCCTGGAGAGGTGGCCAAATCCACCAAGCCAGGATTTCTGCGTGGAAGAAAGCAAACACATTGGTGAAACGTGGATGGATGGGTGTCTAGGCAGGCATGGATGCGGGAAGCAGTTTGCCCAGAATTACAGATTATTTGGCCAGATTTCAAACCTGCTATCCAAGCTGAGAGCCCTCACCCCCTTCCCGCACACATGAGGCGGGAGTGGTTGGGTTTCAGTCTTGGCTTACCCATGCAAGGACCATGTTGGTGCGTGTAGTTTTGGTCGGCAGAGCGGGAGGAGGCGACAGCACGTCCCCATCAGCAGATGGCAAGGTGGCTAGGGAACATCAGGGCCCTACCAAGGCTGGATCAGCCTGACAGCAGGTGAAACGTGGTGCCAGCCAAAGCACGTCAGAGCGAGTGGCTCGCCTGGCGTAGGCACGTCACACGGGAGGGATTTGGGCATCTCCATGCTGAAGAGAAGCCCCTGTGGAGGACATGGTGATGGTCCAAGAAGTGGCTTCAGGGCAGGGTGGGCATGGACTGTACTCAGAGCCAGGATTATTCCCCCCACCTTACTGAAGCGTTTTGGATTTGGACCTGGGCAGCATTTGCTCTAGGAACAGAGCATCTCTCTGAAGGAAGGGTTCCAGACGTGGAAGGGCCAGAGCTGCAGCGAGCTGGTGTTCGCCGGTAATGAACATGAGCAATGCGGAGAGATGTCCCAAACCATTGCTGGGCAGGCAGTGGTGGCTGGGGCACGTGGGGCAGTGAAGGCATGTTGTCTGTGGGCTGCAGATGCCAAAGCTGCCCAGCGTTACAGCTGCTGCCAAAGGGAGGGACGAGGGGGCTGGTGCCAGCTGCTGCAGGAAGCCCCGGCGCAGACCGTGTTACCCTGCCACATGGATGAGAAAAACGGGCCTTGCGGAAATTATTTTGGGCACGTGTTTAATAATTAATCATCGATTTTAGCAAAGACTGCATCATGGACTTGCGTGGGATTGGAAGAAGATCAGCCCTAAAGAAGATTGTGGATTTATGCTGGGGAAAATGTAAAGGATTTTGCAGGATTTCAGAGTTTAAAAAAAAAAAATTAAAATAAAAAGGGCATCGTTTGCTTGCGCATGTGCTGCTAACTGAACATCTACTGCCCCGTCTGCTGGGGAGCCAAAGGAAAGACTTGCTGGATGGAGAGCTCTGCGGCGTGGGAGTATTTGCCCTGGCGCATTAGTACTTACGATTAAAGCCTAATTACAAAAAATAGACGAAAAACCAGCTGAAGTGCAGCCTGACCTTAATCTGCTTGGAGACGGGTTTATTTATCTCGGCCACTTGTTTACAGTGGGGAATTTCAGCAGATTAAGCTGGGGAGCGACCCTGTGGGAAACGGGAGAATTTCTTTGATGGTTTGGAAACTTGGGCACGGGATCGGAGCGCCTGTCCTCTCTGGGGCCAGCAGCTGGGACCGCTGGGCTGGGAAGGCTCCGACCCCCCCATCCCTGCACCCAGCCCCGTCATCAAAAAGCATTTTTGTTTAGAGGCTTAGCTTAATCGTGATCTGCCTCTTTGTTCCCCACTTAACCTTCTGCTATCGGAAAGTTCAGATGAAGGTTTCTGCAGCATGTGAGCAGACACAGAGTCTGACCCGGCGCAGCATTTCGGCTCAGGACAGGAGTCACTTGTGCTGTCAGCTGATGTCACCTGACCATAGGGCTCAGAAAAACTCTCTTTTCCATCTCCCAAATAACTACCGTAGCTGAGACAGATGCGAGCCCCTCTTCCCTCCTTGTCCCCACCTCCCTGTCACATCTTCCCTTCTGCAGGAGAGCTCAGGGGCACATTGTTTGGCAGGCAAAGGATGCCTCAGAGGGCTCCCAAAAATAGGCTGCCAAGTCATGAGGCTTCTGAAGATCTCATCTTAGCTGAGCTGTGGGAGCCAAAAATCCAGTGGGTGCATCCCGTTCCCAGGGGCAGCGGAGCCGGAGCACTGAGCCTTGTTACCTCCCGTCAGCCGAGCCACACTGCTCGCCGTCGGAGGCGTGAGCCGAAATCACCGGAGGCTGCTTTTTCCACACGCAGCCCTGGAGCGGGTGAAGAGGGTCAGTGGCAAGGGGCAGTAGTGCTGGTGGGAAGGGGATGCCCGAAACTGGTTGGAGCCCCAGGATGCCCAACACCAGGAACAAGGTGCAGGATTTGGCACATGCCTGCCTGAGGAGGTGAGGACTTTCATGCCCTCGGGACAGGCAGCAAGCAGGCACCCACTGCTCAGCTGAGGAGCAGTAACCAGAGCCTTAAGGAAGACTCATTTTCCAGAGCTGAGACCTGATTTTTTGGAAGATGCTGTGTCTGTACAGCCCCCATGGAGCCTGGGAGTGAGTGGCGTGGACCTGGCCTGGGAGGGATGGGCCTGAAAAGCCCCAAAGGAGTCAGCTCTTCTCTCGCACACGCATTAAGCACTGATGTTGTAGCTCAAAAGTCTTATTGCCCCCCTGTTCATTAGAAAGGAGTGGGGTTTCCATGGGGTTTCCTGCGAGCAGCAGAGCTGAGATATGGATGGAGTTGGACCAGGCGAGGGCTGCTTTGGATATTTGCTGATCTTCAGTGCCTGTGGTTGCTTTTCCCATGCCCATTCCTGGATGCGATGCTGCTGCCACCATCTGCATTGTGACGCTGTGACGTCTCTCCTGCCCAGCCAAGCTGCTCCTAGGAGCTGGATGTGCACAGCCTCCACACCTTATTAATGTCCACAAGTCCCCCTTAGCAGAGGACGGGTGCTGAGAGATGCACCCCAAAAGCACCACCAGCTCAGCTATAACCCAAAGGAGCAGGGAGATGCTGGAGTGGAACTGGAGTCAGGACAACGCTGCTCACCCTGGTTTTGCCTCCCGCTTCCTGGAAAAGGGACCGGCTACTCCAGCTGCTGGTGCTGGATTTACAGCCTCGCTCGGGGCTGTCTGGCTCCACGGTGCAGCTGGGGAGCTTCTGCACAAAACACAGAGAGTGAGGGAGATCGTTTGGGTGCCTGGAGGATCCCTTCGCCGCACAGCAGAGCCATGATGGGTGATGTTGTCCTGCCACTGGCTGTCACTTTGGGATGGGAATTTTGGCTCTGGGAGTGATGGAGAGCTGGGGGAGAGCATCTGGCTGGGCGGGGAGGAGGAAGGTGCCTCAGGTCTCCACTGCACCCATGGAGGAGGGGGTGTTTCTGCGGGAGGCTGAGCTGTCCCGGGTGTGTGGCAGGATCCGACCCAGGCAGAGAGAGGAGCAGCATGGGCTGCTCAGCCTGGGGGGCGGGGGGGGGGAATCCCCAGGGACACCAGCCACTGCAGCTGTGCCAGCACACAGCCATCCCATCCCATGGGTCGGGCACAGGGGAGGGGACATGCTGCATCCTGGCAGCCTTGCAGGGAAATACAGGCAGAAATGCCATTAGTTAAAGGAGAACTCACGGTTTTGCACTTATTTGGGCTGCTGCAGCTCCTTTCAGAGCAGTGGGTGACCCAGGAGAGTTGTCGAGGTTCAGTTAGTAGCATCAGCGTCAGCCCTGTCTTATGAAAGGATGAGCTGGATCTTAATGACAGATGTCCTTGGGCCTGGTTCTGCCTCTCGTGCAGCAGACGGCATCATCAGGCCTGTGAGGTCCCCAGGTTGACCTGGAGGGTGTCAGCGTGCGTGTCCTACTGATGGGCATCTCTGCTTGTGAGATTCAGAGGGCTTGTGCCTTGGAGGGCTCTTGCCTGCGAGACATCAAGCCAAGCTCCAGGTTCCTCTGCTGGTTCCTCTGCAGGCTGGGGGCTACTGGGGATTAAAAAAGAAAAAGGAAAAAAAAAAAAAAAAAAAGGAAGAAAATACACCAAATCTCCTTTTTAAATAGTTGAATGCAAATGGCCTGAAGAACAATGGCAGATGAAATAGCATTCGGAGCAGGCTTTAAAGCGCTTGGAACGTGGGTAGGATCAAAATCAGGTTAGTCTTTGGAGATACAGACTCTGCAGCTTGCCAGGGTGTTTTTAAGCATGCTTTGATGTGTAGTTCAAACACTAGATTTGTCCTGGCAGACAGAAGCACTCACAAATTCATACACAGCCGCTCTCTCCTTCCCTCCTCCCCACTGTCCCCCATCTCATGAGATTATAATTTAGCTTCATTACAGAGGAGTTTTACTTTTATTTAAAAGCTGTCTAAATCCCCCTCCTGGGTCCGTGCATTATGCTGAAATGAGTTTATGGATGCTGATGAAACCTTGCAGGCTCTCACGACGAGCGTGGCAGCAAAAGAGCTTTGCCCCACGGGTACGGTGGTGGCACCTCCTTGATTTCTTGGCTTTGTTTAGGGGCACTGTGGGTGTGCGTGGTGTTAAACCCGCACTGCAAGCTGGAAGAGAAATCCTGCTGGCTCCGGCAGCTGCGCAAGTGGGGCGAGATGGACATCTGTCCCCTGGAAGATGGCAATTACGGTAACGAGCTTCCCAACATCACCAACGCGCTTACGCAGAGCTCCGGTCACAGCCAAGGTGAGTCTGGGCAGGGGGTGGAAATCCAGATGGTGGACACAGGGCTTGGGACAGGGTTAAAACTCACCCCAGTGTTGAGAGACCTCAATTCACCTGCTGGTGATGTCTCCAGGAGGCATGGGAATACACAACATTTCTCTTTACAGTCTCTGGGTTTAGATACACTTGGAAATGTTTGGCTCTTTATGGCATCTTGGGTGAAGTCACCAGTATTTTGAGCATCAAATAATTTTCAAAGGCCATTTTAAAGCAATTTGACCACAGGGGAGTTTGGACCCATATGGTCTGTGCAGGTTTAGGTATGGAGGTTCACACAAAAACGGTGCTGCTTGAATCGGAGCGGAACTGAGCTCTGAAGCCCTGGCTGTAATGTGAGAGTGAGGAGTTGGAGGTGGTGCAGAGCCCTTTGCCTGGCCCTTGGGTCTCGCTTCTGGGCTTTGATTTAGGTGGCAGCTAAGTCATTAGCCAGGGATGTTAAGCGCAGTTCAAGTGCAGAGCACAAACGGACCAATGTAGTTATGGGGTTGTTCCTTTGTGCTAAAGTATTTTCTCAACCCCCAACGAAGTGTTTGATCCCTTTAAATCCCTTTTCCCCCTTCCTTTTGCCTGAAGAAGACATTAATTGAAAGTTATTGCTCTTACCGTGCCTCCATCTGCCACGCTGGAGTTGCTCTGTGGTGTATTATGTGCAGCCAGAGTGGGAAGAGGAGACGGGAGCAGCAGCCGTGCCGTGAAGGAAACTTCACTCTTCTGGGTGGGATCAGTCCCCCAGCAGCGGTTTGGGAGCACGGCTGTCCTGCCCACCCGCCCCAGCCACAGCCAGGACCATCCACCCCAGCTGCCTCCCCGTGTGCATCCTCGGGGAGCAGCTTAATTTAAACCTGGCCTTGCTCCATGTCCCGTGCCAGCCCCGGGACTCCCCCCTGGTATTCCCAGCTCCGCTGAGGATTCGCTGTGGCATTCAGGGCAGGTCACCGGGGCTGAGCAGGTCACATTTTTAGACGTGCGGGGAGTTTCCAAAGCGCGTGCCAGGGATGTCCCCTTGTCCCTGTGCTCCTGCCTCTCTGTGTAGGGGACTGAAAGCAGCACGGACCCTGGAGGTGTCCCTGGGGTTAATGTCTGTGCACATGCAAATACTGCTGCAAATTGTTGCCAGCCTCTTTTAGTACTGAAAGGAGAACAGCTGATTCCTGAAATCCTTCCTGGTAAAGTGAGCGGGCTTGGTTCTGTACATACGAACACCTGTTTAATTTCTCTCCACCTTGGGGTGCCTGCAGCATTCAGGCTAATTGCTTGTTGCCATCGTTTCCAGAATGTGTTTATCCAGCCGCCCTGGATCAGCTTTGAGCAGTGCCTTTTGTTTTCCCCTCTCAAATGCATTTAACTCGGCCCATCTTGCGAGTTGCAGGATGTAACATGCAGCGCTGCATCCCCTTTGGGGCTTCCCCTTTTACAGCCCGACGGCTGTGTTTGGCCCTTGTGCTCCGGCGTGGCTGGAGCGATAGCAGGATTGCTCCGGATGGGCCTTTTGCTCCCGACAAACCACTTGTCTGATCTGTCTGGCCTGAGTGAAATGCTTTTGCAGCATTCAATAGTTTTGAAAATATCATTGTAGTTACAGACTTTTGAGCTGCAATGTCAGCGTTTACTGCATGTGCAAGAGAAGAGCTGACTCCTCAGGGGCTTTTGGGGCCCATCCCTCCCAGAGCAGCTCCGTGCCACTGGCTCCCAGGCTCCTGTAGGCTCAGAGCAGCTCTGAAGAGGAGCACAGACGCCTGCTGCAGAGCAGCAGCAGGGTTTCAGACGATGCCGTCTCTTCCCTTCCAGCCCTCTCACACAACCAGAGGAGATTGCTGGAAGTCTATGGTTCCCCTCATCTCCCGGAGGCAGATGAGGGACACTCGTGCAGTTCCCTTCACAACTTCAGGTGCTGCTGGGGTTCAGTGAAGCCGGGGCATGGCGCTGGAGCTCATGGTGGCTGTGGGGCAGTAATGCTGAGGAAGCCCAGTCCTGACCCCTGGCAGCTGCGGGCACACCGAGCATCATGGGGGTGGGAATGCACTGCTATGTTTCAAGGTGTCCACCTCATACGTGACAGTGGATTATCACCAGAAAGCTAATGGCAGGGCAGTCCCTGCCTCTTCTCTCACCTCTCTGGCCAAGGCAGCTATTCTAGCAAGCTACTTAGCAATGCTGTCTAAGGAGATGGCAGTCTCCATCAGAGATGGGATGGGCAGCAGAGGTATCTAAAGGCAATCTGCCACAGCACAGGAGCCGGAGCTCTGGGCTCAGTTCTGAAACGGCTGGGCTGGGACCTGGTGGGGCTTTGCTCTCATTGTAAAGACATAGCTCTGCCCAGGGAGGTCATGTCTGGGGGCAGGAACAGGCTGGCCCTGCTCCACCAAGCCACTGACGTTTTTTTCTCTTTGCAGACTCGCTGGCCAGGCCCAGACGAACCGTGTTCACCCGGGCGATCGAGGGCTGTGACCTCCACTGGCAGGACAGCCACCTGCAGCGCATCATTAGCAGTGACTTCTATGTGTCTCCCTCCTACCAGCGGGAGGGCGAGAGCCTCCTCTTCAACTCCCAGGGGCAGCCGCTGTGGCTAGGTGAGCATCCAAACCAGCAGCCCCTTGCATGGCCTGGGTGGGTAGGGTTGCTAATGGAGAAGAGCCGCCCAAGGCATCAAAGAAGCTTTTGCTATCCCTGGGTTGTTGCAAGCTTCTGCATCCCAGATTGAAAGTGCCTCCCTGGCCCTTGGCCTGAGGAGTAGGGCAAGCAGAAGAACTTGATGCCCACCCGCAGTCCAGCCACAGTCCTTACAGCAAGCCCCACGTCTTTACAGCCTGGGTTCCCCTTGGGCAGCTTGGACCAGGCTTATCGTGTCCTCTTTGATCCTGCCAGTGTTTGGTTTGGCTGTCCCCAGTGCAAGCTCTGGCTGTCCACCGTACAGGGAGACTGGACGCTTAAAGTCCCTTGAAAGTTGGCTGGGGAGTACAGCTGTATTCTCTGGATTTTTTTCTTCCCTGCTCTCACTCTATCTTTAGTCTTCCCATAAAGGCAATTAGCACGCAGTGCAGCTAAGCCTTGTATGAGCTTAATGCACACTGGACCAGTCAAGCCCAGTACCCTCCTGTGTTGTAGACCTTTAGTCCATGTACCTCAAGCCACACAACTTCTCTACTGCAAAGTCATGACCCTGGGCAGATCTGCAGACCCTCAACAACTACATGTCTGGGATGAGAATGAGTGAGACGAAGGGCTTGAGGGGTGCTTGCTGTGGCTGTCAACCTTCAGACTGACCCCAAAATGGGAGACGCAAGGCCCCCACACCTCCAGGAGGGTTGATGCGTCATCTCTACAGCCCAAGAGGTGAATGTATGGGCATGGAACAGGTCAAAACCCACCACTGCAGTGTCATCCACTCCAGGAGTCGGGGTCTGCTGTCACCCAGCCAAATGGGAAAAGAATATTTAAAGTCACCCAGAGATGTGGTTTGTGGAGCAGCAGGCACCAAGTTGCTATTAAGGCCAGGAGAGAAATTAAAAAGGACCCATGTAAAGGCTGCTGGTATGCCTCTGCTCACTTAGCTGGAGCAGGAGAGGACATATCTACTCTGGGAAGAGTTTTGTGTAGCTGCTGGCAGCAGGTCTCCTCCCCATGCAGCCATAGGCAGTGGTGGCGGGTTAGAGCTTCCAGGGACTCTATCTAGCAGGGACGTGGTGGCCACAGCTCCCCTGTCCCTAGCATAATCTCGGTTCTGGTGAGCCCTTTGGCCCAGCTGGCTGGCACATGTTATTTTTCTGATGTATTTGCTGTGATTTTTGGATTTTGCGCTCTTGCTTTCTTGGCACTACTTCAGGGACTCAGTGCCGGGAGAGGAGTGTGATTTGTCAGCAACTTCCAGTGATTAATTCAGTGAGAAGCTGAATGTTTCATCCATTTAGCAAATTAATAGAGGGAGCAACAAGAAGCTCTTTTACAGATGTGTTTGTTCTGAAACCTCTTCCTCGTGTGTTCCTTGCGGGTGACCTCTGGGACATGGAAACCCCATTTGTGGAGGTGGTTGTCTGCATTTCCAAAGCTTTCTGAGCTCTTCCAGGAATAGAAATTATCCCTCTACCATAATTTTAGATCTTCTGTGTTTGCCTTTCCCCCCACCCTCCCCTTGGTAGGACATTTTGCAAGAAAATGGGATTTTCGCCGCTTGTTATGCGGCATGTCATGTCATCTGCTCCTGCTAATTTCTCACTCAGTCATAATCCTCTCCACAGTTGCTTGTGATTTCAGGTGAGCAATAAGCAGCAGGAGCAGATGAATTCCTAAGCAACTGTGAGTCTTGGAGCGGGGGGGGTGGTGGTGTCATGCAACTGTTCCTAATAATAAAACACCAGGTAGGAGAGCTGCAGAAGAGACAGGGTGTCTGCAGAGCTCGCTCCACAGCGGCGTTAAGGAAGCAGTTCAAAACATCACCCCAGATCTGCCAGTGCCCCCAGTGCAGTGCGGGATGCTCAGCCTCACCCCATGTACCATCGCCTGAGCGATGAGAGCAGGGAGGGTTGTTGGAGGAGATGGCAAGAAGCGTTGGGGAGCAATGAGAGAGATCACCGTAAGCTGTGCAGATTTTAGGAGAAATGAGCGGCAGGGTTGTAGCAGCCTGCGTTTGGAGCCATCATATTGCAGCAATGGTGCGCTGGAAATGCTTCCATTAGATAAGGTTTGTGGAGGTGGGGATTTAGGTACTGACGTGGCTGCTGTGGGTTGAAGGTGGTAGGAGTCCCGTTAGTATTCCTGGTAGGCATCCCTGCCAGGAGCAGGGAGAAAAGGCTGAATTCAAGACAGGGAGCAGGAGTTTAGCTGGAGTGTGGGGAAGATCAGCAGAAGAAAACCCCTGAAGCCTGATGCTGTCGGGTTCTCTCCCCTCATCAGTACTATCCTGTGAATTTCTGTGCTCCTCTGGCTCAGCCATGTCCCCGTATTTGTCCTTGCCTTTCAGAACATGTCCCGACAGCCTGCGCTCGGGTGGATGCCCTGCGCTCCCACGGCTATCCCAGAGAGGCTCTCCGACTAACCGTTGCCATAATCAACACCCTGCGACTGCAGCAGCAAAGGCAGCTGGAAATATATAAGCATCAGAAGAAAGGTATGAGTAGAGCTATGGGAGAAGTGTCTCACGAGGTCTGGCTGGGGTGTCCCAGCTGGTTGAGAAAGTCTTCTCCACCACAGAGACTAGTGCTGCCCCATCCAGAGCAGCAGAGGCTGCCGGTGGCAGCACTGTTTGGGATTACTCACACCCTAGAAAGACAAACTGATGCATCTGATTGCTTGAGCCAAACTGTGTTGATAGCCACATGCTAAGAGCATAGGTGCCCATGTGCTGTTTTCGGGCTGCTGGAGTAGGGGTGTTCTATTCCCACTGGTGGTAGGAGTCCCGTTAGTATTCCTGGTAGGCATCCCTGCCAGGAGCAGGGAGAAAAGGCTGAATTCAAGACAGGGAGCAGGAGTTTAGCTGGAGTGTGGGGAAGATCAGCAGAAGAAAATCCCTGAAGCCTGATGCCGTCGGGTTCTCTCCCCTCATCAGTACTATCCTGTGAATTTCTGTGCTCCTCTGGCTCAGCCATGTCCCCGTATTTGTCCTTGCCTTTCAGAACATGTCCCGACAGCCTGCGCTCGGGTGGATGCCCTGCGCTCCCACGGCTATCCCAGAGAGGCTCTCCGACTAACCGTTGCCATAATCAACACCCTGCGACTGCAGCAGCAAAGGCAGCTGGAAATATATAAGCATCAGAAGAAAGGTATGAGTAGAGCTATGGGAGAAGTGTCTCACGAGGTCTGGCTGGGGTGTCCCAGCTGGTTGAGAAAGTCTTCTCCACCACAGAGACTAGTGCTGCCCCATCCAGAGCAGCAGAGGCTGCCGGTGGCAGCACTGTTTGGGATTACTCACACCCTAGAAAGACAAACTGATGCATCTGATTGCTTGAGCCAAACTGTGTTGATAGCCACATGCTAAGAGCATAGGTGCCCATGTGCTGTTTTCGGGCTGCTGGAGTAGGGATGTTCTATTCCCACTGTCTCCGCGCCTGGCTGCCTGTAAGGATTACACAGGCAAGCCATGCCCGTGTTAAAGAGGCGCTGCTTGTCTGCAGAGCTGCAGTAACTGGCTGTGTGTGCTACCTCCTGTAGTTGCTGAGTAAATTGTATCAGGAGGCAAGGCCAGCGTCCCTCCTTTTGCGGTTGCCGTTGGCAGGGAGCCGGGGCTAGTTACTGCAGTGCTGCTGGTGGTCAGCGACTCCTGGACCTCCCTAGCTCAGCCAGCTTGAGATGATCAAAAGATGGAGCTTTTAAGACTCACTGGGAGACTTTGTCATCTCTGGAGAGATTTCTGCTTGTGTTGCCAAAACATTTGGGCTACGATTGCAAATGAGTCTGTAAGCTGCAGGTCTGACTTCCTAGATCCCATCCTGGGACTCTGCAGTCCCTTGTGTCCTCCTGGAGCAGAGAACAAGCTGCTGCATCTTATGTGGCCTTAGTGGCACCCTTTTTTGTTGGGTGCCACCTTCCTCTGATGTCTGTGGCAGCATGCATGGTGGCTGCTCTGAGCTGCTCCTTGCCCTCATGAACTACCATGCCAGTGTTGGCCCTGGAGGTCTCCGTGTCCCAGGCTGTGGGGTAAGAAAAGGCCTCTGGTCTCAGAGACCTCTCTGAGTGCAGAACCTGCCTTTAAATTCCTCACTTTTAATGTCTTTCTGTTCTATTTTTTGCAGAGCTGCTGCAGCGAGGGGCAACAACCATCACCAACTTGGAAGGCTGGGTAGGCCACCCTCTGAACCCCATCGGCTGCCTCTTTCTCACCCTGACCGAAGCTTGTAGATTAGAAGAGGAAAATTGCCTTGAAATTTCAGGTACCGAGTGCTCCTCCTGGCTCCCCTCCCGGTGGCTGCGGCTGAAGCGAGCCGGCGGGCACACCCTGGGTGCAGGTCTGGGGCTTGGGACTCCTGGGCTCCGAATCTCCCCTCCCTCCACCTTTGCAGGAGCAGTCAGGACAGCGCTGCAGTGCAGAGAGGGGGAGTTAGCGCCCTGAGTTTTCCCAGTGAGGTTTCCCAACCCAGTTTTTCTGGTTTGCAGCCAGAGCAGAGCAGGAGAGCGGCTCAGCAGAGCGGGGCCGAGGCATGCCAGCCCACGGGGAGGCTCTGGTGTCAGCTGTGCACCCTGTTGCACAGCTCTCGGGTCTCCTGCATCTCCTAGCGAGAGCAGGAAGGAGAGTGAAGCCCATATCTCCTGCAGGGAACTTTTATCCATCATCTCTGGGTAACTGAAGGCAGGCAGAAAGGGAAGTGCAGGTCTGGCTTCTGAAGTTGAGAGGTTTTTCTCTCTGACGTGGTCCTGCCACCTAGGAAGGTTCTTCTAACCCTGCTACATCTCTCCCCTTTCTTCTAGACGCTGGGGACTCCAAACCCCCAGTGTATCAACACGTACCTGTCGCGACTGGCAGCCAAGACAGCGGCGAGTCCTACCTGTCCCTGGCCTTAGAGGTGGCCCTGATGGGGATGGGTCAGCAGAGAGTGATGCCTGAAGGTCTCTATGCCCAGGACAAGGTGTGCCGCAACGAGGAGCAGATCATTGCCCGGCTGCAGGACCTGGAGCTGGACCCGGTGCTGGTGCAGACCCTGCGGAAGCAGTGCATCTTGCTGCTGGAAGGTGGGGGCTTGGTCCATCTAGCTGGCTTCTGAGTCCTAGCTGAGTATTGGTAACATCTCTGGGGTGCCCTTTCCAAGGTTTACACCTGACTGACCCCATCCTGGCTTCTTCCTCTGTGGGTGTGGTGCCGAGTCTGTAGGATGGCCGCTCTGCCCCATCATCTGGCATAGTAAGGGTTTGCTGACATCCCTGGAGCAAGACCACCTCAGAGGTGTTGTGGAGAAGGGTGCTAAGCATGTGTGCTCAGTTTCTGAGGGATTTTGACATGAAAGGGGTTTTAGAAAAGGAAAGAGTAGCCCCTTGCCCTGGACCCCACTTGAGTAACACTCCAGGGAGCTGCTGAGCAGATCCTCAAAGCTTTGGGTGGTGCAAAGCCCAGCCACAGATCCTGCTGTGCTAATTATGGCTGATGGGCTCTGCTTCTGCCTAGGTGGTCCCTTCAGCGGCTTGGGAGAAGTGATCCACCGTGAGAGCGTCCCCATGCACACCTTTGCCAAATACCTGTTCTCTGCCCTGCTGCCCCACGATGCAGACCTGGCGTACAAGCTGGCTTTGCGGGCCATGAGGTTGGTGCATGTTTTTTTCTGTCTCTGCCCCCTGTTTTGCCTTCCTCCTCTGCTCCACTGGGAAGCCGGGATGCTTTACAACCCCAGAGCAGGGATGGGAGCAGAGGCAGGCTTGGAGCTTGCCATCTCTGGGATCATCCTATGCAGCATCTAGGGCTGCTTGGGCACCAAGCAGCAGTGCAAAGAGACTCACGCTCTCTGTTTGGGTGGTTCCTGGTTTTCAAGCCCCATCTGTAGGGATTTGCATGGGCCATGCCCTCTGCCCAGCCCCTTGCCCCAGGCTGGACCACCACCTGCCTGTCCCATCCTCCTGCTCGTCCCAGGGTCCCAGGCACACACAGTCCTGTCATCTGCCTTGTGCCTGCGAGGCCTTGGCCACCCTGGAGCCCTCCCTGCCTGCAGGAAGGGTTGTTGTCCTGGCACAGATGGGCAGATGATTGCCCTGGGCTCCAGGATGTTGCAGAGCTGAGTGGAGGGCACAGTTGCACTCCATTCTCCATTAAAGCCTAGTTCCAGCTCTGGGACTGGAGATACAGCTGATGCCGAGAGCTGCCCTATCTCCCTCCCCAGTATGTGACACCCTTCAGACATCAGCCCATGTACTGCAGTTTTTTGGCAGGGGCTGGATGGGTGTTGAAAAGGCTGGAATTTCCCAAATGAGTCAATGCTTGAAGGATCATCAACCCCCAAGCATCCCAGTGCCCTCTCCCTCTGACAACATTAAAAGTCCCAGCCCAGAGCATCAGTTTTTTGTGGCATTTCCTTGGTGAAATGAGCCATCTCTCCCCAACGCAAGGGGAAATTTTGAAATCCCCCTGTCCTGGGAAGTGCTCAGGAGAACAACCAGACCTAAAAGAGCAGCCAAGGGCCTCTGCAGTTTGTGGGTGACACCATGCCCCACCAGACCTAAGACCTCCAGCTGCAGAGCCAGAACAGGACTGAGTGCCCTGGGGGTGCATGTTGTTCCCTTGCCATCTGTGTCAGTGTCTGTCCCTGCTCCCAGCTGGGACCCCCTGTGTTGGGGTGGCTCTGACCTGGGCTGGGAGAGTTGGGCTTCTGCTGCCCCATGGGTACCCCAAGCCTGCAAGCGAGTAGAGTAGAGACAGTCCTCCCCCATGTCTGGGGGTCAGTTTCCCTCCTGCATGCTGTGGCTGGCCACCGAGTTAGTGACACCAGCACCAGCTCAGGGGTTTAACAGCCAACACGGTTTTGTCGCCATGGCTGGTGACATGAGACTCCTGCTCCCCTTCCCTAGGCTTCCTTCTACCCTGGTTTTTCCAGGCTTTTGGATATCCCCACACAAGCAGGTAACCCAAACCGGCTGTAGAGGCCCTGAGGGAACGTGCCGCTGCTTCAGATCATAACTGGGCGTTTTAAGAAGAACCAGATGATAAAGCCAGGAGTTCTGCCGGGTGCTCTGACATGAAAGGATTGGGGAGGGAGGAGGGATTTTGCTTTTTCTTTTTTTTCTGAGGCTTGTGCTTTTCCTTACAAGTTTATAAATCACTTCACGGATCATTCTGCCCCTTTCAAGTCAGTCTCAGATTGATCCCCATGCCCATGTGTTGAGCACGCAGCCTCGGGAGCCCCCACACGTGCACGGCAGCAGGATGCTTTCAAAGGCAGTGCTGTGGGCAGCTGCCTGCAGGCAGCCCCTGCCTCGCCTCACCAGCGCCTCAGGGAGAGGAGGTGAAGCCAGGGCTGGGCTGGGGCTGCCATGATGAGGTCTGATGTTGCCTCCTCCCGTTTACTCTTCAGGTTGCCCGTCCTGGAGACCACAGCACCATCCGGCGACGTGACTCACCCCCACCACCTGGTCTCAGTGGTCCCCAGCAGGTACCCGCGCTGGTTCACCCTGGGGCACCTGGAGTCACAGCAGTGCGAGCTGGCCTCCACCATGCTCACGGCAGCCAAAGGTTGGTGGGGGGCCAGCTCTGGGATGGGGGTGATGGGATGGAGCTGCACAAGAGCATTGAAGGGATTTTGCTGGAGAGAAGAGGAAGCTCCTGCTTCTGGTTCCTTGAGCACTGGCAGAGACCAGGCTGGGCACCCCACTGGCAGCCCGCTGCGGGCAGGGAATGGTGAGCTGGCCTCAGAGCAGCACGACGGAGTCCAGGATCAAAGGGCCCCAAGGCTCATGGTCCAGCAGGGTGGGACAGGAGGTTCCCAGGAGGTGCAGGCAGTGCTGAAGGGGTGCCAGCCACAGTGCTGTGGATCCTGGGTAGTGCCCCTGGGTGATGCTGGACCATGCCTGCCCTGCAGCATGGTCAGCTGCCAGGTCAGCTGGCCCTGCCAGACGTGTCACATTTAGGGTCACCTAATGGGTTCATGCCATGGTTTAGTTTGAAGCTGCTTATCCTTTTACGTCTGCTTTGTCTCTTCCTGCCCTGTGGTAATGGTCTTGCACAGGCTGTAGGAAGGAGAAGACCTCTCTGTGCACCAAACCACTTGTGGCTTTTGGCAGGGCTAGAGATGGGGGCAGCTGTGCTGGGTGGGACACCAGGGTCCCAGCCATGAGGGGCTTGTAGAACACCTCATCACTGGTCTCTTGGGCCTCTTTGTTTCCTGCCCAGGCACAACAATGAAGGCGAGCACAGGCTTTTCATTAAACATCCCTCTGTCCAGAAACCAGTCCCACCAGGATGGTGAGCACCTTGCGCCCCATGAGGTTACCACTGCTCACTGCTGTCCCGCACAGTCTGCGGCGGCCTCCAGCCCCTGGTACTGCCAGCCCAGTGGGGAAGGTGCCGCTTCCCTGGGGAGGTGGACAGTAAATGAGCTGTCAGAAAGCTCCAGCCTCGCTGCCTTCCAGCCCTCCTCCTTTTGGCTGCTTTTCCAGGGCTGATGGTGTCCTGCCCCTGCCTTGCAGTGCCCTGATGGAGAGCCAGTACCTGGCTTATCCTTTAGTTTCTTCTCCCTTCCAGCGCCTAATGGGGATGAGGTTTTTATACTGGGGGTGTAGGGCCATTGGATTGTGTCTGTGTCAGTCTCTTCTCCCAGGTAACAGGCAATAGGACAAGAGAAAATAGCCTCAAGTTGCTCCAGGGCAGGTTTAGGTTGGACATTAGGAAAAATTTTTTACCAAAAGGGTTGTTAAGCATTGGAACGGGCTGCCCAGGGAAGTGGTTGAATCCTCATGCCTGAGGGTATTTAAAAGCTGTGTAGATGTGGTGCTCAGGGACATGGTTTAGTGGTGGTATGGCAGTGTTGGGTTAACAGTTGGACTTGATGATCTTAAAGGTCTTTTCTAACCTAAACGATTCTATGTTTTTCCCACTGTCCCCTTCCCCAGGTGTTCCCTCACCGCAGCATGTCCCAATGTGATCCTGTGTCCTCACAGCCTCTCTTTCCTGCACCCCCATGAGCTGTTTTAGGGAGGCTTGGGTTTTGGTGGCGGTGTGAGCAGCTGCTGTGGGTGGCAGACGATATCTTTAGCTATTAGTCACCCGAGGTGTCTGTGTGTGCCCAGGTGCAGCACTAGGTCTTTCACACTGCTGTGCATTATTTGGTTTTCTTTGCATGAGGTTCATCTGCTCAGTTTGTGACTATGGGAGTAGAAACATGAACCTGGAACAAAGCAGAGGGACCTGGTGTGGCACGTTGGCACCTCTGATCTGCACCCATGCCAAAGGTCCCTCTCCCCACCCTGCATCCCACAGGACCTGACAGGAAGATTTCAAGCCAGATGCAGGATCATGATGTTAATATGCCTTGATGGGTCCCTCTTCCAAGATCCTGCCCCATATCCCAGTGCTATCACATACCCTTCTAGCACCTGTGGCAGGAGACACAAAGCATCACTGGGTGTTGTGCCAGTAACCCCCTTCTTTCACAGTATCTCAGCCTGTCTTGGTCATGAGATCTGCGTGCCTGACCTGGGACATCCAGGACCAAGCCACACTGAGTCTGGGTGATCCTGGCCCAGCCTTTGCTAGCCTGGCAGAGGGAAGGGACTTACTGGGCAAGACAGTATGCGTGCAGCAAACAGGTTTTTTTTTCTTCTTTTTCATGTTCCTAAGCGAAGACTGACCTTTCTGCAGACGTTCAGCACGGAGCATCTCCCCAAACCCCTCCATTGTCAGGAAAGGGCTGCTTTACAGCTGTCAAACTTTAGCCCGGGGTAGAACATCCAGGTGCCTGGAGACGTCTGCTAATGCTCCAGGATGTGTCTGGGATCACTCACAGTTGTTTGTCCTCTTCATAAGTGGATGGTCTTGAGCGAGGATAGGTGCTGTAGGATGTGTCACCTCTTTGGGAGGATGCCCCGTTTTGCTGTTGAACTGCAGGGCCTGATCCAGCATCTCTGTCCGTCCCTCCATGTGCGCATCCAGAGGGGCTGACCATACTGAAGGGGCTGTTCACACCGAGTGCAGGCAGGAGATGGGGCTTGGGGGGGGCAAGCCATCTGACCGTCCTTTCCTGCACCCAGGGGACATGCTGCGCCTACGCACAGTGCTGGAGGCCATCCAGAAGAACATCCACTCCTCCTCCTTGATCTTCAAGCTGGCTCAAGACGCATTCAAGATTGCCACACCAGCTGACAGCAATTCAGACACAACGCTGCTCAACGTGGCACTGGAGCTGGGGCTCCAGGTACAGGATGGCTTGGGGGGATGCCAGTGGCCCTTCCGCCCCTCGTGCTGCAGCATGATGGTCTTTCACCAAGCCAGATGGTCTCCTGCAGAAGGAGTAAATTCATCCCTGCATGGCCCTGAGTGGGGGACCTCAGCCCTGGGAGGCCCCTGTGCCCGCTGAGGTTTGGGTGGAGGCAAAGGCAGTGCTGGGGAGCCTCGTGGGGAGCTGGTAGCCAGCTTGGACCAGGGTGATTTTTGCGGAGCGCCATAGTGTTGGGTGGCATCAGCGGAGCCCTGTGGGGCAGCTGGTCACCCCAGATTTGCCTCGCAGGTGATGCGCATGACCCTGTCCACCCTCAACTGGCGGCGGCGGGAGATGGTGAGGTGGCTGGTGACATGTGCTACTGAAGTGGGTGAGTGCCTCGCCGTGCCAGCCAGATCTGGCCTACAACCTGTGGGAGCGGGGTGGGCACGGACATCTTGGGTCATTCATAGCCCTGGGCATCTGAGCTCTCCTGAGTCTCCCATTTCTTCCTGGGTAACTGGATGCACCCTTGGAGTGCCAGTTGGCAAGGCTGGGGCCACAGTGGTGGCCGGGTTCGGGACTGGGACAGGTCCCCTGTACCCCCTGTCCAGGCCAGAGGTGTTCGCCGTGCCCTGCAGCACGGCCAGGCAGGGTAGCCTCTGCCTGTCCCCCCCCACTCTGTCCCCCTTGGAGCAGAGGCAGTGGCTCAGCACTGCTGTGGGCTGGCTCCAGGCACCTGGGGGCTTGGAGGAGCCCCGTGATCAGAGCCGTGCTCCAGGGCTGTGCCATGACCCCAGTGTTTCCTTGCAGGAGTGAGGGCCCTGGTGAGCATCCTGCAGAGCTGGTACTCGCTGTTCACCCCCACGGAAGCCACCAGCATTGTGGCAGCCACGGTGATGTCCCACAACACCATCCTGCGCCTGAGCCTGGACTACCCGCAGCGGGAAGAGCTGGCCAGCTGCGCCCGCACCCTAGCCCTGCAGTGCGCCATGAAGGACCCGCAGAACTGCGCCCTGTCTGCCCTGACCCTCTGTGAGAAGGACCACATCGCCTTCGAGACCGCCTACCAGATCGTCATCGATGCTGCCTCCACCGGCATGACCTACACCCAGCTCTTCACCATCGCCCGCTACATGGAGCACCGGGGCTACCCGCTCCGGGCATTCAAACTGGCCTCGTTGGCCATGACGCATCTCAACCTGGCCTACAACCAGGACACACACCCAGCCATCAACGACGTGCTCTGGGCCTGCGCCCTGAGCCACTCTCTGGGCAAAAATGAGCTGGCGGCCATCATCCCGCTGGTGGTGAAGAGCGTGCACTGTGCCACAGTGCTCTCGGACATCCTTCGCCGCTGCACCATGACGGCCCCAGGGCTGGCCGGCATCCCCGGCCGCAGGAACTCGGGGAAGCTGATGTCCACCGACAAAGCCCCCCTGCGACAGCTGCTGGACGCGACGATAAGCGCCTACATCAACACCACCCACTCCCGGCTCACCCACATCAGCCCGCGGCACTACGGGGAGTTCATCGAGTTCCTCAGCAAGGCCAGGGAGACATTCCTCCTGGCGCAGGACGGGCACATACAGTTTGCCCAATTCATTGACAATCTCAAACAAATCTACAAAGGCAAGAAAAAACTGATGCTGCTGGTGCGGGAACGGTTTGGGTGAGCCCCGGCCCCCGCCACGATCACTGGCAGGGTCCAGCCGCAGCACGGGGACTCGGGAGAGAAGAAGGAAGGAAAGCGGAGATCACCTTCTCCCCATCGGCAGAGGCTGCTCTGTTCTGGTCTTCTGTTTCTTTTTTTTTGTTTTCTTTTTTTTTGTTTGTTTGTTTTTGTTTTTTATTTTTCTCTTTCTTGGATTTAACCATTTCACACGCTGAGAGGATCCAGAGATTCCTTGGGCACAAACCAAAAGGCAACCACGGGGAAAAAGGATGGTTCGCTCAGCCCCCTGCCCTCCCTTGCCAATACCAAAAGCTAACCTGGAAATCTAATACCTCTGTCCTGAAGGAAGCGGTCGCTGGAGGGATCCGAAGGTTGCAAAGTGCAAAAATCTTTAAAATTACATGGGGAAATTAAAAAAAAAAAAAAAAAAAAAAAAAAGAAAGAGCGAGCAAAGAAACCCGCAACACTAGAACCTCATGCGTCACCAAAAGCGATGGCTTTGCAGAGCGCTTCTCCCGCCCGCCCGAGACATGCAAACTCCTCTATTTGTGAAGATACTTCAATAAAAACAAGTTAAAGTAACTGTTCTCAGGGATTGCTTACTAAAAGTAACACAAAAAAAAAAAGCATTTATGATACTGTAAATACTATAGTATATGTGTCAATTATTAAATTGTAAAGTTATAATTATTTATAATTCTGTCTTTTATTTGGGGGATACTTGAAATTGTCGTGGGCTGGGGCGATTATTTTTATTATTGCTATTATTATTATTATTATTATAACTATTATTTAAAAAACCACACAAAACAAAACCACAGACAAAAAGAGGAGGAGGCACGTGAACATTTCTCAGGTTCCCACGGCATCGTCGGCAGCGAGAAGGGTGTGGGGGGAGGCGAACGTCTGCTCGACTCGCAGGCCTGGGACAGACAGACGGACGGACGGAAGGAGGAGCGGCAGCCCAGCGCTTGAGGACAGCGAAGGAAAGGACTCGGGGCGACGCTCGCTTGGACACGCATGGATGCTGGT